GGCTAAATCCCAGTCCTATGTAATTTTTGTTCTGCATGATTAATATTTTTACATTTCTGAAAATTCTCAAACATTGAGAAAAATGTAATGAATTGATGAGAAAGCCTGAACAGAACATATGAATGACAGCATATACTCCAATGGACTGTATATAGAAAAAGCCAATGAGAGCACTGCCTCTCAACTTCAATTCCAGCTTCTACCATCTTGTGTTACTAGGGCTAGATGTTGCCAGTCACCTGTTACATGAGTAAGGTAATAAGTATATTTTCTATTGAGCATCGTTATCCCCTTCTTTATGGGCTCAGAATGTATTATGTACTGGCATGGCTTCTTCTCCCACTTCTATTAATACTGAGTCACTCCGGGATCATTATGTAGCCTGTGGTCTGTAGTCAAATAGTCCTGCAATATAGAAGTAAGATGCTGGCCATGCCTCCCAGGCACCAGGACACCCCTGCCACAGGAACAGCTGCTGGCTATACTGCACAGGCACCAGGACACTCCTGGCACACGAACAGGCTGCTGGCCATGCCTTCCAGGCACCAGGACACCCTTGGAAGTTGACAGTGCACTAATTTTGTCAGGACTTCTGCTTCCAGGGAAAAGAGCTAATCTATCAGCATCTATTGAGACTGTATCTCAAAATGTAAAAGCGTATTACTTCTATCCTTATTCACATAGCTAAATGCAGTAAGAAAACAAAATGCCACCAAAATACACTAATTTACATCTTGGAAAAAACTAGATTTTACATGGTGAATTTCTCTGGGCCAACATCAGATTTCTTTTGGTTTGATTTTATTTTTGTATACAACAAAGAAGGATATATTAATAGGGGCTTCTCTACAGCTCCACCTGGATTGATTTGGCCATTGATGAGCTTCAATCTTTGCCATAGGAAACAAATGAAATAACTTATAAAGGGAACAAGGAAAAGCCTGTCTGGCCTGCAGCCGGGGAGATCTGACCTGAGCCAGCTCTGCAACTGACCCAAGTAGGTCACTAGAAACAAGTCATCTCTTTGTTCTTTATTTTTCAGTAGGCACAGGATGGCTAATATGTTTTCATGTGCATTAAGGAGTATATAGACATTCAAGCACAAGGCTTCTTTTGTCCTACCAACCAGAGTCTAAACATGCGACAAGCTATAACAATGTGTACTACATATGACACTGTTTCTCATCTCACAATTCTCCCAAGACCACAGCTGCAAAGCTTATGCAGGAGGCTCTTTGGCTTCCAGAAAGCTAAGGAAAAAATGAATTCTCTTTATTTGCCCGAAGTCAATTATCATGTCAGGAAGCTGATTTGAATCTCCAGAATTGAAGCAAGTAGTCTTCACATAAACAGAAATCAACTCTAGGTAAATATCTACTATGAATATTTCACAGAACACTGGAATTAAATTAGTGACTAATGATGAAAGCCAAGAATGTAATTTTCTTAGATGTTGTGCTGAAGGGGCCTCTAAATTCATTTCTTAAATTCAAACTAGCTCAAGCTATGGCACCATTCTACCAAGACTGCTTGCTATTGTGTCATAAGGGTGCCCTCCACAAATGCCTTCTAAAGCTGTCTTGTGCATCATAGGTACCAGCCCTGCATTCCCTCCATTAAGTTATAAACCACTTTTATGGGCTGAACAAATGTTAATGCCATTATATCTTAATGGATAATGCTATGAAAAGCACCAAAGTATTACAGCACGGGAACCTTTAGGGATGAAATACTGTATAACTTAGAAAATTGTCTGTTACAAACATATGTCAGCCATGAGGGCTTCTAGCCTTTATGATCCATCTTCAGAGAACTCAGTTATAATTTCGCCCTTGGTTAAGAGAACTTTGCAATTACACACAGATTTATTAGGTCCCAGGATTAAAATTCTCTGAGTAAGAATAAAAAATAATTATACTTCAGAACACAATGTGATATTCAAATGCTTTGAAAATCGTCACCTCAGCAAAAATGAGAGAGGAGAGGAAGAAGCTAAAAATGAGACTGGTAATGTTGGCCATTAAAAACTGTGAGTTTCAGTGCACAAATGTACAATCTGGCACTTTTATATCATAATCATGTGGAAATGAAAACCTCCCTTTTGTAGCAAAAGGCCTATCATCTTTCTTATCCTTTCAAAACTTGCTCTGCACATTCTTGGAGGTGAAACTCTCTTCCCTTGGGTCTGTGACTCTTTATCATCATCATTTTTACTCAGTTACTTCCTCTCATTTCTATTTGCCAGCAGATCTTCCTTTCATTGGCCTTTCAATGTGAGAATTTAAGCTCTTGCTACTTCTTTGTCTCTAGTCTCTCTTTCCAGGAAAATGTGGCCATTTCTGTAGTTTTATTGCCAATGATATCTGAATTAACTCAAAATGTTGGGCTGCAGCTTAGACCTCTGCTTGAGTGCCAGGCCTGGTTTATTTCCCTCTGTTCTCTAGGTTTACTTAGCTGTCTCAAAGGCACTTCAATTTAGAATGTCTAAAAACGAATATATGATTTCTCTTTTTTATCCTAAATCAGGATCCCTCCTAAGCCTTTTCATGCCAGTAAGTGCACCTCTAAGCATCTATCCTTGGGACTTCTGCAATGATTTCCACCCATTCTTGCTGCTTTTCTTCATCCCCCTCACTCCACCTCCACAGCAGCCAGAGTAATACACTGAGATAGCCAATGTGATCACACACCATTCTCTCCTCATATGCTTCACTGACCCCCTTTCTTATAGTACCTTGAACATGGCTGAAGAAGTAAGCATTATCTGGCTCCTTTTACCTCTTTTGCCTAGGCTTATCTATCCACTGTTGCTTTCCATGTTGTATCATGGTCCCTACCAAGACAAGCTCTTCCATTTCTTTTGCTTATAGTCATCACCATTTTTATCCTTAGTTGTTCTCCTATTCATTGTTCTTGTCCTTAAGGAAGGTAATAATGGTACCCTATGATGAGCTCCTATAAATTTATATTATATATTTACTTTTGAGATCTTTGAAAAAGTAGTATCTATCTCTCCCAGCAGATCACCAGTTCAAGAGGGCAAAGGGTCATGCCTGTTTTACCCACCACTGTTCTCCTGGTGATCCCACCCCCATGAAAAGCACATGAATAACCTAACTTTCATCACTTCAAAGCCTTTTTCAAGGCTCTCCTTTTCCATCACTACAAGAAAATACTATCACAAATTTGATGGCTACAAACAACTACTTCTGGTGACCTTGACCACATCAGGTTTACTTCAACAGAAAAACTGGAAACAGAAGAACAGAAAAATGCACAGAAATCAGGCCCTGAAAAGACCAATGAAGCAAGACCTAGATTTATAACCAGTGTAGGTGTTAGGAGTCAATATTGTATGAAAGTGGAATAGAGGGAATGAGGAGCTCATTAACTTTCTTCAGAAAATATAGTAAAGCTTCAAATGGTTGACTACTACAATCTATGTTAGTTAAATTTTACTTTCCTTAAACTATATCTTTTCTGTATCTGAATTAGTTAAATTTTTGTTCAAATATACACCCTTCTTAGAAGGGTAGGAAGAAGGCTGAATGTACTGGCAAGCTAGGCTACATAGCAAAACCCTTCCTCCAAACACCAACAACAAAACAAACAAACTTGTAAAAGTGTGTTTGCATGGGGTAAAGAGCCAAAGACAGATTTCTTTTATGAGATGATAAAACAGCAGATTTTCTCTACTTAGGGAAAGCGAAGAGGGTGCTGATGAGTTTCAGTATTATCATTTTGTAGATAGAAACAACAATAGCTGATCAAAAGATGGCTTAAAATGGATATTTGAAATCTGAAGCATGATTATTTTGAAAGAGAAAAAAGGAAAACATTTATCAGTACCATATACTAATCTGACAGAGACAAAATAGATAATACAGATAAAATACAGTACAGATTTTATTTAATGTGTATCTAAATGCCAGAAATAAAGCTGTATGATTTGATAATTGTCTTCTATGTAAGAAAAGAAAGAGTTACGAATTCAACAAATAAAACTTCACCTGATTATTCTGGCCAATTTGTGAGTTATAAGATTTGTGAAATAATGCTTTCCATAAAGAAAAATACCTTGTTTTAGAAAATTGGTTCATATAAAATTTTAAACCATGTAATTACTTACAATTACTTAGTACATTACTATGATATAATAATTCAAGTAAAAGTGTATAGGATGTCCAAAAGTTAGAAACATGTTAAAATAGTTTTTTTTTCTGTAGAGAATGTTGATACCAGATGGTCTAATTTGTACTGGAGTTTTTCCCAATGTAATATCAGTTTTCTGAGAACCATAGATTACTAGAGTGCTCCCCGGGGGGGAGGGGGGGGGAAACATGAGCAAAGACAAACTCTGGGTTGATGGTGATTACCTGATTATAAGCTGGACTTCTCAGGAAAATAGCAACCCTACATAACAGCCTTGGTTTTCAACTTGCATGGAAACTAGCTCATGGAGGGAAAGCATACAGGGGCAATGATGGTAAGAAGGACAAGGAAATTAATAACATGAAAAACAACGTAGGAATACATTTTAGACTCTGAGCATTAACTGTTTGTCAGGTACACCTGATTCTAATTAAGTTCAGAAGAAAAATCACAAGGCAACCTCTGCCTGACTCTTTTAAATAGTAGGGTGATAAATGGGTGTATCCGAATGTGAATGCCTCCATATTTTTCAACTAAAGTCTGTTCTGTCTTCCAACTGATCACTTTAATACCCAAGTATCACCTCAGCCTGCACAAAGGTACTTGTGTAGATAAGCTCCTAGGTTTCTAAAAGAACTATTATTTTGTTAAGTGTCATTTAGGTAACCTATGTGTTTCTCTCAGAATAAAGGTAAATGTTAAACAGCAAATGACTCACAACTTACAAGCTACTTTCAAAAATGTGACCCCATGAATCCTTTCTCTTTGGAATACATGTTCAACACATTGAATTTCTTTTTAATTTCCTACCTTTTTTAAAAAAATAGATTTTAAAAGAATATCCTTACCCGAATTATTTCTTCAACACAGCTGTTGCTTTCTCCAGATCTAGTCTCCTGAAAACAAAGGAAAAAATAAATTAGGCTTCTTAGAAAAGATTTATGGTCACAAAGAGAAGGTGACATGCAAGGTTCCCAATTAGTGGGAAGAAACTCACTAGAGGTTTGGTGAGGGAATACTTAAGATGGGATTTATTGATAAGTTTCTTCCCTTAATAGCCGACTCCCATTGTGGCTCCTTGCTTCCCCTTGCCTGGTAGCAGTACCACACTCACAGGCCTGCCTCAGTGGCTTGACCCTGCATCTCTAGCCACACCGATACCAAGCAGGGAGACTCCTGAGCACAGAAGACAGAACAGGAAGCATAGATTTGAATTCTGTTCATCCTGGGTTCCAGCACAGTGTAGAAACTATGGTTTCAACTAAGGTTGCAGCCTTTGCTGCAAAAAGTACCAGATGTGTTCCATGGGCCAAATGAGTACAGTGATTGCTATGGCTTAAGTGAAATCCTACTCATTCACAGTTCTCAAAGCCACACTTATTGTTTTGATGGGTCCCCAACTGAAAGACCAAAAACTGAGATCTCTAGACAACACGGCCTACAGCCACCTGCTTGGCTGTCACTATGCTGCCCTGTGATGTAGTGGTATACAGGCTTCTGAGGTGGGGTGGCTTTAGGTCACAGCCACTGTTAACAGTAGTAAGTTTGAGAGACTGTTTGCTGCTGGCTTCACAGCCTGGAACATAGCACATGGTTTTGTGGGGACATGAAAGCAGCAACTGCTAGTGGAAATGCCACATGTGGTCTTAAGGCAATCATTCTCTGGGTCTTATAATTTAAGGAAATTCTAGAATGGAGCTTTCTTATAATTATTACTCAAGTCCTACTGCCTTTTCTTCCTCACAGTTTTTTAGAGAAGTGCCATCTGTACATGCCAACTGGATAATTCCAACTCATTCTTCAGATTATAGCTCACCCATAGCTTCCTCAGAGTGTCTAAGGCCATCTCTCACCCCGAGTTCTCTCCCACTATGGCATCACCTCATCATAGTCCTCTCATGACTGAAATTCAATAACTGATTCTTTAATAACATCTCCTTTACAACATACACTCCAGGAACACAGAGTTCCTGTGTCGTTCTGAACTAAGCTCCATGTGTACTACACATTTATTAATTGATGGTGGGTGAAGATGGGAATAAATTTACTTCCTGCAAAACTGCAGAGCTTCTGCATGGCCAAGATCATAGCTAGCAAGACAAATAGAAGCCCACAGATTGGGAGAAGATCTTCCCCAGCTATATAACGGAAAAGGGCTTCATACCTAAAATAGAGCTCAAAAAAATTAAGTCCCCAAAAAACATATCTTCAAAGAAATAACCACCCCATTAATAAGTGAGATAAAGATTTAAAAAGAGACTTCTCTGAAGAGAATGGTCAATAGACACATGAAGAAATGTTCAACATCTCTGGCTATAATAGAAAGGCAAATGAAAACTACATTGAGATTCCACCTCAACCTAGTTAGAACAGCCATTATCAAGACAGCTAATAATAACAGATGCTGGCATAGAATGTGGCCTAAAGGGAACACTATTACACTGTTGGTGGGAATGTAAACTTGTTCAACCACTCTGGATAGCAGTATGGAGGTTCCTAAAAAGACTAAATATATAGACCTATGACCCAGCAATCCCATTCCTGGGCATTTGTCCAAACAATCACAAACAAGGCCACACAAAAACCATAATCTCACATTATCCATACAACATACTAAAAATAACTCTTCCAATTAAACTCTGGGCTTGAATCCTTGAAGTCAAGTTTCTCCTGAATACTACACTTGAATTGCATTTGATGTGGTTTATATAAACCAAAGGTTGCTTAATGATGACTTCTCACAGTATGCTCACAATCTTGAACATTTTCATTACCCTGCTATGTTAAGGGAACCAGTAGAAAAAAAATAGGGATAGGTGGTCCCAATATGACAAGTCCAACCATGAAATTCAGTGGTATACTTGGACAGACACCAGGTCATTACGTACTAGGAAGACTCCTGATACAGTAGAGGAGGTGTCAAACTGAAACCAGGACCAAGCGGCTGAGACCAAGCAGTTTCAGTAAGTTCTGCCCTTAAATCACAGGTTGGTTAGTCTGGCAGAGGGAGACGTTGAGCCTTTTCTGGAACATATCACCTGATGACTCAAGAAGAATATCACACTGATTTGGATTCCTAGGATTCTGTTTGGCTTGAGTGGATTTATGGGACACAGTAGCACAAAAAGTATGAGTTATAAGCAATCTTGGAGCTAATTTCAGGCAAAATCAATGACTTGAACCAGGTAGAAAATCCATGACCCATAGGAGGGAAGTATTTGTTCAAAATACTCAGCAGGTAGCAGGATCACACAGTGAGAATCCACATATAGTTTCTCAGCACCAGCACAGTATATTTTCTCCAATTTCTGTTTCCCTGCGCTCAATCCTCAGAATTGGTTCAAATTGAAGTTCAAACTTTCATGCTTTAAAGTAGGGAAATGGGACAATTCAATAGTATCTGGGTAAATTTCCTCCCTTCTCCCATTCTGCAAATTCTTTAACATTGAGTTACCATCTCTCACTCACTAACCTCCAACATCTTATGCACTGACCAAAAAGAAAGGGGGTGGGAGATAATGAACAGACCAAAGGTTAAAACTTCTATTCCTCCTGTAACATTAAAAAACCCAAAGAGCAAGACTTGGTGTCCTCAGATGTGGTAGCATGAAATTTCACCTCATCTTTCCTACAAGTACAGAAGGGGCAGGAAGGCAGGTAGGCATGGGAAAGTAGCTGATAGCACTTTTTTGCCTTCTGAGGTCTATCTCAAGTCTGCTTTCAGCTATAGTTTGTGCTTTGATTATATTTACATTTTGAAAACTTCCTATGTTTATGAACAAGATTAAAATGTGCATATAATTTACATCTCCAAAATTGTGTTTATGTTTTTCACAATAAAATTACTGCTTCCCTTGGAAAGGTACCCACTGAGAAGGGGGGGGGTTGCACAATGTAAATTTTAATTACTCTAGGTTTTGAGAGTTTGGAGCTGTAGTTTCATGCTGAGTTGCTGAGCTGCTGTTTGGTATTTACTCCAACTCTCATGAACCCAACTCATTTCCCTATCATTACATTTTGAAATCTGTCATAACAATCTCACCTCATTGAACCTCCAACTAAACTTCAATTAAAACCTAACATCCCTGGCTGATTCTTCTCTACAATCTTGCTATCGTGTATGTTCTCTCAAATCCTACCATTTAAATACACACACTGGGAAGGGTGAGGAACTAAGCTCTGGGAAAGGGGAGCTCAAGAATCCACCAGGAGCTTGCTGCCCCTGACAGCAGAAGTCCCTAATTACTATGCACAGCACACAACACTGTAAGAAGCAAGGCTTAAGGAGAACAGGCTCAATCAAATCAGGGAAAATGGCATTTCATCACAGAGGAGATGAGCTGAACACATCCTACTTTGAAAATAGTTTAACTCTTCATCAGATTCATTTCAGGTGGAACTTTCATTCTAAAATACTGCTAATTTAAAGTCACAGGCCTTGGTTTGTCTGCAGGTCTTCAAAAGAGTATTTAGAAATGGCTTATCCCATGCACACATCTAAATGCTCCTGCAGAGCTATATTTAAACAGACTTTATTCTTCTTGATTTACAGGAAATCAGAGCAATAAAGAAATGAGATGCAAGCAGTACAAGGGGATCTAAACTCAAGTTCAAGAACCACTGTAATTGCACAGGAAGCTCCACCCCTATACTGTGTCCTCAGCCTTACCCTGAGGACAGGGTCACCAGTGAACAAAGGAGGAAGGCAGTCAATTATCTCCCAAAGTTAGCTCGTCTACACCTCACCTGAAATGGAACCTTATAAAGGATATACTCTGTTCTCCTCCCCACCCATGGCCCAGATTCATCTCTGCCCTGTTGCTTTCACCCGATCAGGCCATGCACTCTTAGTAGGCCACTCACATCCAGTTCTGCCTCTGTGATCTTAAGTGTTGCACAAAAAACAAGCAAAAGAAATTACCAAAAAAGATATATCTCATAAAACTGAAAGCAAAATGATTGCAGACTGGAAATATTAACATCAACTAAAGTCTAGGTCTCATTCATACAAACACCTGGGCATATGTACACACACACATTCATATATGAAGCAGATCACAATACAGAATGAGGAAAATTGGGCATTAATAGAGCATTAGAAGAAGATATACTAGGAAGAAAATGAAGAGAAATTCAGTGTGCCTCTACTTTTACAAAGAAAAGCTACATAAGAGAATACAGAATTTCGAAAGATTATTAAAGTTAAATTGGTAGATTTAAAGAACTTTTACTGCTGAGAAGAAACTGCCTTCTCTGCTATGTATGAGATTGTAGTTTCTGCAATGGTAGGTAAAGAATTGGTTGTATTACTTAGATCTTAGCTACAAAAAAAAAAAAACCTCTGAAAATTCCAAGAAGTATTGTTTCACAGTCTGAACCTTTACCCACTGGTCCGCCAAAACCTATGAGGAGAGGAACTAAATGCAGTGCAGACATAAAAATCTCCTAGAATCTTTTAAATTAAGCACAAACCACATCATACAAATAACTCTTTATATTTGCAGGGAATAATAGTAAAACTCAGTAATATAAAACTCTTAGATGCCACAAAGATTGTCTAAGAGAAAAATTCATCAAGTAAAGGCTTTCACTATTTTTTTCCTCTAAGAAATTGTGTTAAAGAATTTAAAATTTAAAGGAAAAGCCAGGCCCTGGTGGCTCCATGCATGTAATCCTAGCTACTGAGAAGGCTGAGATCTGGGGAATTAAGTTTGAAGACAGTCTGGGCAGGAAAGTCTGTGAGACTGATTTCCAATTAACCACCAAAAAGCCTGAGGTGGAGCATTGGCACAAATGGCAGAGCACTATACTTGAGCAAAAAACCCTCAGGGATAGCACGTAGGCTCTGAATTCAAGCACATACACACAAAAAAAACTTTAAGAAAATCCAAAAATA